ATATTATTATATAAGCACAAAATAAATGTATAACAGTTAAAATCAAAATACAGTATGTGCAGTTTGCATATTATTTTATAGTAGTAAAACTGTAATTTAATGTTTTATACATTGTTTGTTGAAACCTTTCTATAATAACACACGGAAATAAATTATACCCTTATAAAATGTATACATGTATTAGGTATACATTTTACATTTTGTGAGACTGGAATTGGTATTTTAGATTTAAAATCATACATAATTCAACTCCTTTATCTCCCAACCTTACCTCCGATTATAAGATTTACAGTTTGATCATCAAAATGAAAAGTACAAAATATTAAACTTTAAAATGTATGGATGGTAAAATTTGAATAAAATACGTATTATACTATACAAACACTTTATACCCAGAATGAAAATTAAAAACTATACGTAAACAATATTATGATAGACTTGGCTAGAGTGGTTCGAAAAAAAATGATTGATGGATAGTTTTTTATGATTAGTTTAAATGTATTATAAAAAAAAATAAATAATAAAACTCAGAAAATCTTTATATAACTTAAAGGCTTAAACTGAAATTTAAAAAACAGTAAAAAATAATACGCAATTTTTTTCGGGAATCATTGCATTGGTTCTCAGGGGAGCTTTGACAACTTTATGATACGCATATCATATCCCTAAAGTCCATTTTTTAGTGTCGTTTTGAAACCTTCGTAATCACCGGGTCAACATCTAAGTTTATTACGTTTTAGATTTTTATTATACTCAGTATAATACGGAAGTGTGGTTTAACAAATATATACAGATACTACGCAGGACTAAATGGTTTGTTGTTTTGAAACACTGTTTATTTTATACATATAAAATACGTCAATATGATTGTAAATAATTCATTGAAAAACAAGTTTTATTAATATTAAATTAAATGGGAATACCTTCTTGCAACATAACGCGTAAAATAAAATTCTACGTCACAACGATGGTCTCCTCGTCGTCAAATAAAATCAATAAATAATAAAAAACATCCGAAAGTTGATAAACTAAAAAAAAAAATGTAATTTCTAGGCAGTAAAAAACAACCATTGTTCGGAAATTAAAATCATCGAAAAAAAAATATAAAGTAAAAAATATGACATTATTACACAACTGATAATGCAAATTCAACTATACCTGCACACCGTTTTCCGGGTAAATAAAAATACTCGATTAGATAAAAATAAAATATTACAACAGTTTAAAATACATTAAACGTGGAGAGGTCTATTAAGCTATTAATTTAATATGAATGGGGTTGAAGGTTATTCCAATGTCTATACAGCCCTCCGAGTATGATATTATTACAAAGTTGAAAGTATATAGGTTCATAATATTAATCTGTAATTTTCAAGAACAAAATGTCTCATTTCCGTATTTACTTCTATTTTGCACGGTCGATAAAAAATGTTATTTCTACAATCGTTAATTGATGGTTTCAGTTATAAATAATACCCTGAACATTGGTCGAAAACTGTCGAAACTGACAGGTTACCGCGGTACCATCTTCTATAGTATACCTCGGTATTACAATGTAAGTTTACGGAGTCACACACCATAGTCAGTAGAATAATATTACAACCAGCCAAATATCCGATCGTTTCCGCTGCTGACCAGAGTATAATACAATAATTGTGCGCTTCAACGGCTAAGCTGGGGTCGTATTATTTTCGATTATCGGAGCAATATTAACGAACATTGTTCCACAATTTGCACAATACCAGCGATTGGAGCATTATGACCAGTATTAAGAAAGTCAACAATCCGAAAAATTTGTATATTATTTCAGGTCCTATAATATGATGGGGGATTTATTTTCGGGGTTCGAAATCCCAGGACTCTCAGTCCTCAGCAGACGCTTTATACGTAAACAGAACGATACACCGAATATGCTCACCACCATTTTTTCTTTTGATAATTAATTTATTTGAATTTTGGGTTTTCGAACTTTTTGATATTATACTCATGGGCCATATTTTTAAATACTTGGGACTATTAATAATGAGTGTCCTGTAGAGCTACAGACTTATTTTTTCATATGTGCACCACCATTTTTTAAATTTAAATTTTTAAAGATATTTTTTTTTATAATGTTTATGTACTAACTCGTTTGTAGATCAACATTTGTATAAATATTTTTCATACCATTTACGGAGTAAATAATCGCGGTACTACCAACTTCTCTTTTTCAAAAATGTCAATGTATTTAAAGCAAATTTCAAGAGATTATTTTTTAATTATTTAATTTTGTATAATAAGGATAATAGGTTCTATATTATAATGGGTTGGGATATACATGGTGGCTATGATGATTTAAAAGTGTTAATAATTAATGTTAATCCATCAAAAATGTATAATTTATAAAAATCGTCCAAGTATAATAAATAATAGATCTCTAATATTACATCTATTTTATACTTTTGTAGACCATTTTTAAGGACTCATTCAAATTTCAATTTGAATACATACATATTAAAATAAAAAATTTAAATTTCCTTATATATTAATTTATAGTAAAATATACTTTAGTTTTTATTCAAAAATACGAAATTTGTACAACCACAAGACAGTTGTACTTAGATGGTATAAGAAATCTAAATCGCTTCAATATATTATGGTCCTTTAATTGAAACTTCCAAAAATCTAAATTTAAATAAATATACATTATCATAGAAGAAAAATAATAGATTATATGAGCATAATGCTTATAGCGAAACCCCTGTAAAGTATTGTGGATGGACTGTTAAGCTTGGCGTATTGAAAAGTGTAATATTTTATCGAAGTCACGACACCGAATACAATATTATTAGTATTGACATTGGTTATCTTTTGATTCGCCTTAGCGGACATACGAAAACGAAGATCCCCTCGACGAATGCAGCTTATATGGATGCGAGCCCCTCTCGTACAAACAACAATGTTGTCGATGCGAAATACGATCTCGCCAAATGTCAACTGCGATTTTCCAGTTGATTTTTCCATTCATTGACGAGATTTGACGGTACACTAGTTTTCCGGGAATCGTATTAGTGCAGAGCAAAGAAAACTACACCGAACCGACGACGATCGATTCTGTTTCCGTCACAGTCTGGGTGATAATAATAATAATCATAATCATAACTAATAATATAGTTATATCTTATTAGAATATATGTTTTTTGTCTCTCTATTTATATCAATATAATATTATACTAATACACACGTAAAATGTTCCATACACATCAAGTGAAATATGCGAACTTAGGACAGTGTGCGTTCGATTCATTAAGTGTATTTTTTTTCCGTGTGTGATTGAAACCTAAATTGTTGAAAAAAAACTAATAACCCTTTTTTTTTATCAAAAATAAGAAAAACATTAATGAGAACAAATATTGAAATATTACTATGTATGGAATCTTGGATTAAATCTAAGTCAATTATAAATGAAAAATAAAGATAAAACCTATGAATTTTAATATTTTAAGTATCCAAACTATTTTGAAAATTTTATAATGTTCAGAATTTATATAACTAAGTATATTGTTATAACAATATCACTCATAAATTATAATAATCAATTCAATTAATTCAGCATAGTCAACTGTAAACTGATCACTAAAATTATTACCTATGCCGGTTTCAACTTAATCGCATTACATAACTGAGCTCAGGACTTCTTGCATTTGCCTGATTTTTTATACATCAATAGTTATTGAATATTCTAGGTAATTTATTTATTTTTTAAAATTATATACAAAGTATAACTTACCATACTCATGCATATTTCGTTATACATTACAAAAAAGGTTACAACACATTTCAGCAATTTGTACAATTTATAATATTATACCGTACGCGTAAGGTAGTGCATATTTTCATATACATAACTTTTCCCACATTTTTCCCCCATACATTAAGCTGCATATTGTAGAGCATTTTTTCGGTTTAGATTTTATAATAAGTTCAGACTCATAGCTATAAAAAATAATAAAATATGCACTTCAATTTTTACAACCATAACATTTTGTATAAAAAATACCAGATCCCACGCCCTGTCGATAATAGCGGCGATCTGATAATTATATATGTATGTTTAATTAATAATATATTAAATATGAGCTACCTTTTATAATTAAATTATGCATTTTGTACAGCAGTTGCCACTTGCCGCTCTCCAATGTACTGTACAGTGTGTACAACACACGGCATAAATACACCATTTTATTCGACATTAATCAGTTATTAGCAATTAAAATCGAATAATAGAAATAAAATTGCACGACCCTAAACCTTAAACCATGCGATAATATGCATTAAAAACGTTTGAAATTGAATTATTCCTTTTAGTGCTAAACGGATTTATATAGCTTCTACCATTACTGTCTTTTAATGGTACCACAAACAATTAATGTGCAAATGATATAAGTCCCTGATGAGTCGGTGTGACAAACGGTAACCTAGGTGTTTCGACTGTAATTTTCTGAAATGTGGACATTTTTTTATTTATAGATTCACACATACATTTTAGATTGCTAGAAACTTGGGATGCCTCATTTAATATAGTTAAATTCGTATAAGAAGTAATTGTATTTCGAATTTAAAAAAATAATACAATCAGTATCACAAGAATTGGACTAAAAAACCATATAATGTTTCACACCTAAAGGGGTTAACCTGCGATAGGTAAGTGCAATTATGGGTATATCGACCGTTAAAAATAATGAATGCAATTTATACACGTGAGTCCTGAAATCAGTTTTCTTCAATACTGCAGATTGTACTTATATCTGTGTACACTGTACATGTTATAGTTGGTTGATGCAAAAACTTTAAAAATCTTTTCCATTATTTTCTCGGGGGAGGGGCCGTGTAATAGTTACAATGAGCTCTAATATTATGTTTGCCCCCGGTGACAAAATAAAACTATGGTTAAGATTCAAATTTTTCAATTTCAAGTGCAACTGTTGCACGCCCCATGATAAGGCGATAATACTGTTTACCTTTTGGCCCTTCTGGGTTTGGGCGGTAACCGAATCCGGTACAGACGTGTGTGCGTTTTGCTGCTTGACCGGCGCCTGGTATACGCCAGCGGCGGTAGCGGCATGTCTTCCGGCATGGACGACAAGACGGTGGCTATGTACTCCTCCTCGACCGGGTCCACGGGTGGCCGGGACAACGGCTGCGGCGGCCGGTCATCGGACACGGACCGCGACGGAGGCGGCGACTGCGGCGGCGGCACTTGCTTGGCCACCGGCGACGGCGCTGCTGCCGTGCCGTTTTCGCGGTCCATCGTACCGGTGTCGGTGGTCGCGGTACCGGTAGCCTCGCGGTAATTACCGGACACCGTCACTTCCCGCAACCACTCGCGCAGACGGGCCCGGTACACTGTTAGCGCGGCCAACATGTTGTCGACGGCGTGGCCGCATGGCCGCACGGATCGCGACGCGTCACCACGGTGGGCGGGCGGGCGGAGCGGTCGCGGCGCCGGGGCGGGCGGAGCGGTCGCGGCGCCGGCGCGGGCGGCACCGGTTCGGACGACCGCGCCGCGTCACCACCTCACGACCGCTGAGCGATATACGATTAATCGGATATCGCGACTTGTCGTCTTGAACGAAAAAATATAATAATAAATCTCAAATGATCTCCGCGCACGCGCAGTCCGTCAAAACCTCATAAGAGACCGTCCCCCCACCCCTAAATTGCCATTAGAGTAATATTATAACAAAGTTATGGAAATAATATTATATTATCATTATTGATTTAAATAGGAAACCGATACTTAATCTCTATAATAGTGCTACGATTTTTGAACAAAGATCCATACATTAGATTCTCTATTAATGCTCAAATAAACGTTTGTTCGGCTTTTACATCGAAAAAATATGTACCAAAGTAGTTTTTAAAACAGATCAATGAATTCAAAGTTAAATCCAAAGTCGTACCTATTTCCATTTTCAAAAAATTTAAAAGCTAGGAGTAATTTATTTTATTTACTATATTATTTTTACTGCCTGTTCACTTTAGGTGCAATTTACAATCGCTTCCGGTATTATATTATTATACCTAGTGTAAAAGAAACATTGTCGCAACAAAAAAAAAGTCTAAGATAAGGTAATAATAATAATTATGCAGCGAAACCTCTGTAATAGCGGACACCCCTAAACAGCGGACATATTTTAATTCCTTTACGTTGTCCGCTATACAGAGGTTTCACTGCAATATTAATACGCCTTTTGTAATGAAAAACCTAGGGTGTATAATGATTGTCACGTGACGTATGGGACTACTGTGAACGTTAAACGATAATAATATTATTATGATTTTAGAATAAATCAATTTTGCTAACCCTGTCGAGCTTGAAAGATCGGTTCGCAAAAATATCAAGAATAAACAATTATAACAAAGTGGGAGAAATCGCAATTTAATCTGATATCTATGTATAAATAAATAGACAATTCTTATGAATCAAGAATTCCAAAAACATATATTAAACTTATGGTAAAAATCGTTGAGCAGTATAATAAATATAATGCCACATTAACATAATGGTGATCTACTCAAATAAGTTAAAATATTATTGTTTACTATAGGTACCCATGTATGTTATATAATCAACATAATAAAAAAACTAATTTGAATAACCTACTATACAAAAAAAAATATTAGCTAATAAATAAAGTTATAATATTATAACATTGTTGGGTTAAAAAAATAATTTTAAAACTTATTTTTCATTATAACGCCGCCAAAAGAAAATTTTGTGGAGAACAGTGATAGCCATGTGGTGTCTTCTGGTTATCGCTAAATGGCTATTATAAAAATAATATTACCTACCCTCTGAGTACAAATAACTACCCAAAATCGTATACCTCAAAATATTAGAAAACCGATAATTAACTACGAGTGTATATAAATGTATACCTGAAACTTCGAGTGCAATTTAAAATAATTATATTATCAACTCCCTTCGACTGGCTCAATTATTTACGTTTTTCCATAATATCGCATAATATGTAATTATAATAATATGTAATATTATCGCATCACCATTGGCTGTTGGGGAGGTATGGTGATATGTCCCACCACGACTACTTATTTTAGTGCTAAATGTCTTACCCCCTACGGTCCCACTGTGCAATTTATTTGTATACCCTCCCCCCCAACGCCAATGTAGAATTCTGAGAACGCCACTGAGCATCACGATCGCGACATAACACCGACCACCGACCGCGAACTAGATGATATTATTATACAGAGTAATTTAATATTAAATACCTACACGACAATCGTGACGAAATTAGAAAAATCGTTTCGACATTAAAGGGACGTAAAATATATTATATTATTATTATACTTATGGCGTCATGTAGTGTAATAAATAATAATATAATATAATATTGTATAGGCACATGATCGGCGACGAAGGCGAAAACCCTTTGAAACGCCACTAATTGATCGAAACTCCCTACGCATATGTATAGTATTTAAAAAATATTTATAATATTTTTGCGGTTTGCTCGTTTACCAAACGAAATAGCTGCACGGCTTACGTTTTCGCACAATAATATTTCAATTATTTTACAGTAATTATTAATTTTATTTTTATTCTGGAGGACAATTTGACTGTTCAGTATTGCATATTTTGGAGACGTATAAACAATATTACTTCACGGAGAGCTAATATGTTTTACTCTTTATTCTGGTTATGAAGTTTGATATATTTTTTTGAAATATTTATAAACACCTTAATAATTTATTTATGTACTAAAAGAAATAATGTATTTCACCAAACTTTTTTTTTTTTTAACGTACCATAGTAAAACGAAATAACACATTAAGGATAATCAAATTAATTACGATTTCAATTGTTCATATTCATAACTCATTCATGGTCGAAAAAAAAGCAACTCAAGAAATCATTGAACGTCAATATTTATGTATAATATTCGATAATAACAATTTTATTGAATAGAAAAAACTTACGCATATGTATGGTACAGCATTATAAATTTATAAATAAATTACAGATTAATGGAATTACATAAACTTATATTGCTTTGAACTAACTGAGCAAAACTTAGAATATTCAAAAATAATTATATTCTTATACGTCGAAGTTGTTGAACGTGTCAATTAATTTTAATCTAATGGATTTTCTAACGATTGAAGTGTCATGAATTTAAATTGATAATATTATGAGGAAATGAAAATCAATTTTGATTTAATTCAGAACTATTTAGAAACTGATTTTGGTATAATGTGAATATAATTATTATGACATAGTATAGTAGTTATAATAATTATTAAACAATTAAAAACCATTGAAACCTATTTTATATTTAAAACAGTTTTTGACCCCTAAGTTGATATTATATTGTTTAATTTCTGGTACTTATTTCTACAAAATAAAATAAATATTTTTTCTTATAATTGGATAATTGGACAATTAATAAATTAACTATTGGTAATTCCCTAACCGATATTTAAAATAAACATATATAGTAGACATCAATACTGGAGATTAAGTATCAATTAAATTCGAATGGTTAAAAATAAATAAAAATACATTTTAAATTTGATCAAACAATTTTTTTTTTTTACTAGAACATGATATAACTTTTATTAAAATATATGATATTCCTCAACTTATAAAAATCTATAGAATATTTATGAATATTATCACGTTTTTGTAAACGAACAACACCAAAACGAATGGATTTCGTTTGCCTAACACGGTTTATATTAATATTAGCCATAGTTTGCAAAGTATGCATTATCAACATAACTATCCATACTGTATTATTATACACTGAAATTATACTTTAAAAGAGTTTAATTAGATTTTTCATTTCAAATATTTTAACATTTTACACCCACTGTTGGGATCATTGTCAACTTTATATTAATATATATAATTATTTTCAGAAACTATTCACTACTTATTTTTACGGTCAAAAATACATTCAATGCTATTTGATCGTTAAACAACACATTTCCGAAAGATTTTGCAAAAAAAATCAAATATATTGAATTTTAATTATTCATCGTCTGATTATTTATATTGTGTATTTATTTATTACAGTTCAGTGTGAAATAATTTATGATACACTTCAAATAACAATGAGTGCTATAGAAATTCGATAACTCTGCAGATTTAAAATTTTGAAGAATATAGGTGTGACACTTATAACCTCGTTCCACTAAAAAAACGGATGTTATTACCACCTTTATGCGATAACTGAAAAGGAAAAAGAATTACTATAAATATAGTTTTTTTTATAAGAAAGTACCGTATCGACGATAGCGAATCAATAATATTCGGCATTTTGACAAATGCTTTTTCACTCGGAAGTGGGAGTTTAAGTTTTCTCAACTTTTAGTTTTATCGAAAAGTTTTGTTTAAAAAAAAAAAAAAAAACATTGGTTAACACTACCTCAATTCATTGATATTTACAAACTTTAATTCTTTGGGAAAAACTATACATATTAATAAAGATATAATACCTTCCAATACTGTATATATTCGACTATTGAGTATGAGTATCAAATTTATAATAACATAATAATATACTATTATGCATATTAAATAAAACTCCTAAATCCAATACGCCTAAATCTCCAGTATAGGTAATTAGGTCACGAACTATTTTTGTGAATAAAAAAATAAGACTCACAGAAGCGATCAATCGTACCTATAGCAAATCAATAATATTATTCAACAAACTTTACTAATACACAAAACGAAACTTTGTAATCACAATATAATTGTAAATTCTAAAGTCTGTTAAATTAAATTATGTAATAATAACAGTAAATATTTAAAGTTTTTACTGTGTTTAGATTAGCAAAATGTATGTCTCTGAGAATTAATTATGATATATTTACAGATACTATAGATTTGATGATCATCACAGTGATAGACAATATTGTAACTTAAATAGAATTTAAATCAAAATACGTAGGTAATTGCTGATTAACATACATTTACATGTTCTTACAATTTACCTGGGATATATTCTAATACGATGTATATAAATACTTATAATTTTAATAGGTAAACAATAACTACCTACCTATTTAGATATCACTATTTAACTGTTTATTTTACCATTAAAATAAATGCTAACATTATACCTATTATGTGTTTATTTTAAACTGTACCGGAATAATAAACGTTATGTTCGTTTTTACAAACAATTTTGGATAATGAACTATAACTATCATATTTTATCACTTTTTATTATTGTTTATTTGTAATATTATCTGTAGTTATTGTCAGGCTTAATAAAAACAATATTGATTAAATTCGTTGTGGGGATTTGTTTAAAATAATAATATTGAGGTATTTTTAAATTTTTTAATGTTAAAAATCTGCTCTAATATTCTTAAGCAAAATCCCACTCC